ATGTTGTTATAACGTCAAATAATTTGACTCAAATTTATAACGGTACAATGACGGCCAAAAAATTTCGAACGACCTGTCATTCAGTTGATTTTAAAATGTAAAACTGCCTTTAGTGACAACTAACCTTACTTTCTGAAAGTTGTCAGTTTGACGTATTTCATTGTTGATTTTGTTGTTTTAAGATTAGATTCTCTGTCTACTTTTTGAAACTGCTTGTCATCTTGTCAAAAATGTCCCTAAGGGTTGGTTTGTACAGACATTTTTTTAAATGACAGAAGTTTGTTTGTTCGAAAATGTAACTTAAGCGACAAGACTAATTTTACATTTTCCTAAAGATGTTCTTATAAAATATCGTATGCCACAAAATTTAATGAAAATTTTAGATTGGAGTTGATCTAACTTAAATATTTGAATTCTACATTAATAAAATAATGTCTCACCAGTTTTCAGATAAATAACTTTAAAAATAAAGCTCCCACACAAAAAAAATCTCTCCTGTAAAATTTAGGTTTTGTCGCTTACGATGTTTTGTCAAATAACCATCGATATAACTGCGCCATGTTTTCTCGAAAACCGTTTATGAATATTAAAGAGGGTTCTCGTTCTTTAAAGGTGGCAGCGGAAAAGTTCGGTTTTAAAGATGTACACGGAAAACACCTCTCAGGTTCGCGGGCGGAATGCTAAACGGGTTGAGTCGCTTTTTGCTCGCGAGCGCGCCTAATATATCCAGACGCTTTTCCCGCATGCCCACGGGAGCCGTTCGCCTTGCACGGGTCATGTGGAATAATAAGAAACGAGCTTTTTAATAATGGAAAATGTTAAGTGTGCTTAAAAAAATGAATGGCGCTGTTTGCTCGACGAAATGGCAGTGGCATGAAAAATCAATGATTTAAATTTGCAGACAATACAGAATTTTACTTTGTTTTATTATGTTTAATTACTTAATTAATAATTATAATAAAAATCAATCATTTTGAGAATTTAAAGCATACGAACTGCACATCACCAGGAAGGCAAAAGGTGAAACAAAAATATTATAGAACTTACTAATTATCCGTTAAAATATTTTTAATATTTGTTCAAAAGGATTGAAAAAAAGTTTTATGAAGATCTTATTTATTGAATAAATTCGGCCAAAAAAGATCTCAAAAATTGCAATTGAAATTTTTTAAATTATTATTAAATATCCTTTTAAAAATTCGACTAAAATGCTTTATTATTGTCCGTGAGTGTACCCTTACTTTGCGTTTAATAATGTATAGTGGTTGTTGTAAGTTCTGGTCTAAGAAATTTTTCCAGCTATTTAATAAACTTTCCAACAAGCAACAAGAAAATACTTTTTTCTTTTCAGATTATAGCTAAGAAGTTTCAAAACTTTTCAATTAAATATAATGTCTTACCCTCATAGGTATATCCAACACATTGCAAAAAGCAAACATGCACTCTCTTACCTGGAAATAAAAAATTAAAATTAGAAAAATTTAAATTACACTTAGGTTCAAAGACTTATCCCTTCTTACTTAAAGCTGATTAATGACTTTTTAATACCTCAAACTTCAACAGCATCATTATCGTAAAAAATCTTTCAGGACTTTATAATCATTTTAGGGCGATAAAAATTCAAAGTTAATAAGTTTAGGTCATGGAAACGACATTTTTACCTTTCAAAAAAAAAGTAATAAAATATGTAAGCACTCAGCGAGTTTTCACGGTGAATTAGGATTTTCTCTAGTTCAGGACTTGGTTTTTACTTTTAAGCAAGATTTCCTGTTTAATATTTAAACCACACTTATTATTAATTAAAATCAGCCGAAAATTGTAAAAGTTTAAAGCTATTTTTAATCAACATCCTCTTAATTTGATTTGATTCTTTTTAATCTTATTACCAATTAAAACATTCTGCTGCCAAAACTTTTCTCATAAATTTTCTAGTGGAACGTTAAAAATCCAAAGTATTTAATCACCGAAAAAACTGCTGATTTATTCGGCAGCACGTGTCCCTTTTAAAATTTAAATGAGCCAATAAAAGATGTGGTAAATTCAATTTATAACAAATAATTTAAATACAGCACGTAGGTACTTAAGTAAATTGATTGGTGAAGTGGAACCGTTCGATGTTCTTTGAAAGCTTTTTAGGCAAAGTAAAAGATCAGGGGCGCTAAATGGCTTAGATTTATTTTACTCTGTTTGCATATGCAAAATAAATTGCATTTGTAGCTCATTTTGGATCAAGGAACATTTAAAGGTGTTTGCCCAACTACACAAACAATATCTTCGTTTATAAAGGCAATTGCTAGGTACACAGCGGCGAGATTATTGAACTCATTTATCAGGCTAACTTTAAATTGTCTTCTAAAAATACACCCAAACAAGTAAAACTCCGCATAAATATTCTGGATTCAAATACCAAAATAAACTCACGCGGGGTATGCTAGACACGTTTCCTAGTTTTTTGCATGTGCATCCATGGCCCATCCAGAGGGTAGTTAGCGCCCCGTTAGGACCCTTCCTTTATTGTCCTCTCACTTGAAATTCCGAACAGGACCTTTTTGCAACAGATGCAGATGCGTCCTTTAATGTAAGGACCATAAGCAAGATCATTTGCTTTATGGACTTATTTAGTACAAAAATAATGTTTAGGTTTCTAATTGTAAAAACATTGCCGAAACTATGTTAGTATTTTTGCTCTTATCGTCAAAATTAAAGTTTAACAAAACCCACTAAAATAATGGAGCGGGCATGTGGCGGCGTGTGAGTGCTCCATTAATAATTCATCTGCACCGGCTAAACAAATTGCCGTCAAAATGGATACTGCAGCTTACCTTAAGCCTTAATGTGGCCATCAAAAGTTGCTGCCAAGATACGCGAAAGGTGGCAAATTAATTATGTACACCCTGTGTTCTGAACGACAGTAAACTTTTAACCTTTTGGGTACCCATCTATTTTTGGACGGGATTAATGTTCATGGGATATGCTTTATTCCTCGTAAAGTGTTTTATGGCTTTGTTCAATCGCTATTGACATTATTTTAATAGCATATTTAAATCTTAATAGGTAGTAATTGGCTACTTAACAGGATGAGTATGTTTTGAGTAGTATTTTAGTCATTTGTATACCTTTCATTTAAGACCTACCTTTAAACATAATGGGGTAGTTAAATTTTTTCTGACCTATACTTTTTATGGTTTTATTCAAGGCGTTTTGTAATATTAAACATTTCTGTGAAATCAGAATTTCAATTGAGTTTACCGTTTTCGAGATATTTACAAAAAAAAGTCTCCTAATTACGTCACTAGGCTATTGACAACGTTGCCAGCTTTTTCTATGGTGTTTAGTTTAAGATTCTTACGATAGATGGCGCCACGTTATAATATTTTAGTTTTAAAACTACTTGATCTAAAATTTTAGTTGAGGAGAAGAAGAAGAATTGATTTTTTGACGTTTCTTTTTTTCGGGTTGTTTTTTTTTTAAATTTAGATTATTGAAAATCAAATCAATCAAAACTACCCCATTATACCCAACTGGGCAAATATAAGCAAAAAAATTGACCCCATGTAAAGATACAAAATGCAACAGTTTGTTTTTGATAAATTTTCGTGGAACATCCTTTTGGGCATAATATTTTCCCATATGGGAAATTCGTACGTAAGCCCAGGGCTCAAACGCGTGTTTATCAAACCTCCATAATACCTCCCTGTTGAATTTTTGTGTTTACCCCTTAAATATTTATGATGCAATCCAAGAAATGATGTTGCATGTTTATTTTGTCGAGCGATGCTTTAAATTTGCAGTTTATTTGCGTTTGGGGCCTTCCTGGGATTATTTGGGTTTCGGTGTTTATGGTATCGATGTTTTGAAATTTAAATATTATACAAGATTTGTTGCCATTGCCTTTGGCTGCACTAAACCTTTACTTTAATCTAGGTAAATAAAACTTTACGATGCCAGATGAGATAATTTGTTAAATTTTTTACGATTTAAAATATTATTCGTTTTTAAGCATTTAATAATTCTGTAGGTACTTTCATTCATATTATCAAGTTTACATTTGACATTTTGTCAGGTTTGACGTTTGACATATGATATATTATAGGTTATGCAAATAAATTTATTCTACAGTGACCTGTAAGTTTTCTTTGCTGATTACGAGCTAAACGCGAGATTTAATTTCAATGTATCTTTATTATTGTACGGCGGTGTATAATAATTTGACTTTTAAACTAGTATCATTACGAAGTCTTTCTATATAGACTTATAATAGGAAAATTATTGTAAGATTGAAAGTACATTCTTAGGACAGTAATATCTAAATTTAACATTCTTAAGAAACTCATAATCTTTTGTATACCCACAATGTACACAATTTACCTTCTCAGTATTTATCTAATTTTCAAAAAGATATTATAACGTCCAAATAATAAACATCAGATAAGAGATACAAAATCATTTTTTAATGTATTTTATTAGATTTATCTCAAACTTTTTATTCTTGAAAAAACTATTCATTGTGTAATAATAAAAAAATTGATAACATAGTATAAACAAATAATAAATAATAATTAATTTCTAAAAATATTTTCCTTTGTTTATTTGGAATTATTAGAAATTACGATTTTTGTGCAAAATAAACTTATAAACAAATAATTACTCGACGTGTATAAACAAAGTATTATTATCACAATCAACATATTGTTTTTAAGGAAGTTGTTTGTGGTTGCAGCATTATAAAAATTGATAAGTTAAATAAAATGGCAGGAAGTTGATAACAAACCAGTGGAGGTACAAAAGTTAAGTTAAGCAATGTGTGGTATGATCAGTTCAGGTAATAAGAAAACACGTGTTTAAACTATATAATAGATAATGTTTTGGAAATACCTATACATTGAGGAACACGAAAAATGGTTTTTGAATCAACTTTGGTTTACCCTGCTTCAAGTTTATTTATAGAAAGTAATGTAACAAATTTCACCTAAAGACACAATAATTATAATTAATAGTACCTTTTAGTGGGTCCACGTTTGATGGTAACTGGCTTGCTATAGAAGTTCTTGGAATTCTTTTTCATCAAACATTTGGTCTCCGGGAGTATATCCAAGGTTTGTTTAAAAAAGTCACTGTCCAAAGCATCGAAGGGAATCTTAAAAGTATTATAGGGTGATATTTCTTTTTTAAAGTTCTCTATTATTAGTTTAGCTTCCAAATCAGGTGGTATTTTATCATGGGGATCGTTGTATATCTCCGATTTTCTAGCTTCTAAAGAATTACGGATTGTCTCTACTATGTCAAGCTTTTCGACTTTTGGCTCCGGTAGAAATGGTTTGTTGTACACTGGCGATACAGCTTTGTTATCCATATTCTTACAACACAATTTTACTCTGGGAATGCACGGTTTATTATCCGAATCACTCACAGTCACTCTCAAGTTTAACTCTATGTTCTTGGGCGGCCTTTTCGGCGGAACTTTTTGTTTCTCTAGAGTGCTAAAGAAACTCAGCGCGTTCTTGAAACTCGGACTGTTGATTTCACCCATCACTTCTGATTAGTGGACGCGTCACAGCCTGTCTATGATTATGCGAGCGACTATCGAGTTCACAGCCACTCAGATGTTTTGTTGTGTTATCGCCACACACACATTTTACGCGATAAGGAACAATGTACACGATTTTTTTCACTTCGTAAGCAGATTCCAATGTTGCTCGATCAAATAACGAACACAAGGCCAGGGGAGCCAATAGGTCATTACTGTTAATGTAAGCCAATTGAGTTGTAATGGAATAGTTAAGCTGTTGAATTGAATTTTAATACCGAGATTCCATGTCATGTTATTGAGATCTTGCTAATTGATTTATAGATATTTATTTAATAATTAAGTCAAAAACACTTTAAGAAATTTAAAATAGGATTAAAATTTTAATTTTACTTTAATAAAATAGTCCAATAATTATTATTCATTGCTTATGTTTTCAAAATAAAAAGGTAAAATTTGTTTAAAACAGTTATGATTGTTTGACACAAACTGTCATAAAAAATTGACGAGACCTTTTCCATATATAGCTATAGTAAATTTAAAAGTAAACTACGTACACGGGTGAATCTCTGCAAATTAGACAATTTATATTAAAATTTTGGCAATTATATAAATTATTACAGTTAAAAAGTTGTTGTTGCTAGATTAGTCCAATAGCATAAAATAAATAAAAATATAGTAATTTCACGATGATTTGACGGTTACTTTCCTATTTTTTTGAAATAATTTCCTATTTTAAAAATGAGGGAGTGATAGTAGGTGTGAGGGAGTGACAGTTTAAAAGGTTTGACAAAAGAAAAGTAGTTTTTAAACATAATACAGTATTTATTAGAGAAAAATACAAAGTTAAAATAACTAATAAATTCAGTTATACCCTCAAACTCGTCGGGGGGTAATGAATGGATTGATCTTCCAGTATATGATAGTAGTTGTGGAATTGCATTCATAACAGATAAAATGCTCTCAACATTAATAACATTTGAATCTTTTTTATTGGGCCAGGGGAATCTGTTAGGAGCAATATCTTTCATAAAATTTACTCACATTTTTTCTGTTGGTTCCTTATTTTCAATTATTTTTTATTCAGGTATTTATGGTTGATCGTACACAACAGTGTTATTAATAGCTTAATACATTTATAAATGATTTAGCTATTAATCAGTGGGTAGCTGTTGTGTACGATCAACAGAGGATACCTGGAATAATTCAAAATTAGGAACCGACAGGAAAAATGAGAGTAAATTCTATAAGTTATTGGTCCTAACAGATTCTCCTAGATTATAATAAAAAAGATTCAGATGATATTAATGTTGAGAGCATTTTATCTGTTAGGAGTGCAATTCCAGAACTAATATCATACACTGGAAGATCAATCCATTTATTATAAATAGGGGTAATTACTAAGGCTGCTATTTTTTTAAATTTTTTGTTTTTTTGGTACCGGATGGTTTCAATTTTAAAGCTTTATTATTGTTAAGTCTTAAATGAGATTTTGGATAACCCCTTCCCAAATGAAAATGAATACATGGCATTGATTTTAAATAACAATCGAAACAACTAAGTTTATTAAAAAATATGCAGTCATCTTCTTTTCTGCATATAACTTGATGCACATTGGTGGTACCCGAGAATGTGGACGCTGAAATGCCAGAAAATAATAGCTCTACCTGTTGTAAAGCGTTAGCAGACAATTCTTGGATATATATTCCCGGACAACGTTCCTTTAAAATGTCTATTAGTTGGGAAATGTTAGAAATGTCTTTTCCTTCCGCTACTGCCTGGTCAGCGGTCCTCTTTAGTGTACCTCCAACGCCATCGGCGGCCCCTTTCCCATGACCCGCTTCAGAGTAATTCCAGGTTAGGATTTCAATGTTTGGTAAAAAATGGTTTGAAAACGATGAAATAACACGAAACATAAATCGATTTCTGTATTGTGTTGCTGGTCCGTCGCTAAGAAAGTGAACTGCAGTTATATCTTCTATTTTATTTTGGTCGATCCAATCAAAAACTATTTTTAAATGTGCCCATATAGCAACATAATCGTGTCTAAGAGATGTTGAAATTGTACAAAACGAACGTGGGGTAACTTTTCCTTGATTATTTTGTATATAAATGACACCAGTATGTAAACTTATTTGCTCCCTCGAGCCGCCAAAATGTAGGGATTGTACTTCCTCGCCATACTTACATGAAAAATTTTCGCTAAAATCAACATGGATTATTATTTCATTTGACTTAAGAGACGTTTTTAATGACGACATTGCATGGTACTGATGAAGGATGTTACCAATATGTGTCAGAAAAGGAATTAACGTAACTTGCAGTTCATGGAACAAATTAACCAGCGTGATGGCAATGTTTGATTTTGTGGTCTTTCGGATTAATTTCTCTTGTCCTTTTACGGTACATTTACTTGAAACTGTTGTCCACTTATTGTAAATAATTGTTCTATCTAAAAACTCTTTTTCTTTTAATTTTTTATTGCAGCAGTAAATACAGTTTCTGAAAAGGCATTCGGGTTTTGGAGGCAAACAGCAAAGAAGATTGACAACGTCAGTAGTAGAACGAGTTTCTATAACTTTTGCTTTATAGAGAGCTGATACAATATACTCAAAATTTAAATGTTTTATACATCTGCATGTCTCTCTATCTTCTACTTTTGGCTTTAAAACCCAAAACGGTTTTAGGCGGCAAAAAGACTGGTAACTCACATGGTAAGGCACTGAACCAAGAAATTTATTATGCAGTGTTTTTATAGTTTCTAACAGGTAACGTTTTTGCTTTTGCTCTTTTTTAAAAGTTATGTATTCTTTTTTACCTGCTGTCATCCGCGATACATCATCTCTCTCAAAAAATTCTTTTATTTCTTTTTTAACATGAAGAGAAAGGTAATTACCTCTGGGACGAATTTTTATGTTGCAATTTTTTAATGACTGGGGATTCAAGATCTTAGTTTTTTTTGCGATGTTTATTAACCGGTACTTTTTCAACAAGTTATACTTCATAGTTTTGTTGTAGATTTTTTTATTTGAATGACTGCCAGCTTCACGATAGTTTTCTTGCAGCTGTCGTTGAAGAACTTCACCAAACAATAATTTTCTTCTTACAGGTTCAGTAACTTTTTGGTTTCCTAATAGCTCATTAACCTTTGAGTTTGGACTTAAAATTCTGCTTTTTTTTAATGTCTTCTCTTTCATTCGTTGATATCTTTTTCTGTACTTCTCAGATGATTTTTTGGATTCCGCAAGTTTTTGTTTTAAATCAAGTATTGTTCTGTACATTTTGGACCGCGATTTTATCACTCTCTTACGTCCCACATTTTTTCTATAGGTTGAATTTCTTGGAGTGGGAGCATTTGAGTTAGAGGGCGTGACTACTGCATTTTGGATGGGGATTGGTGAATGTGGAGGAGAATTATCTATCAGGATTTGATTGAGATTTTTCTGATCCCTTTTGTTTTTTCTGTAATTTTGAGCTCTCTTTCGCCATTCCTTTTTAATTTGTCTATGTTCTCTACTGGTCATATTATCTACCAATTTTGCTGCAAGTTTTCCTTGTTCACGTTTTTTCCTATATTTTAGTTTTTCTTTTTCCCTCATTTCTGCTAATTTTTCGGGATTATTTTTCATTTCTTCTCTTCTCTTTTTGTCATATTCCTTTTTGCGTAGTTTTGCTTCCTCCTTGCTACGTGCCATTTTACTACAAAAAAAACAGAACAAATTAAAAAGTATTATTAATCACTCCCTCACTTCAGTTATCACTACCTCACTTGTAAAATTATGAGGGAGTGACTGGTGAGGGAGTGACGAAAATAAAATAAAATTGGCAACTCTGCAACACCGGTTAGAATATTGAGGTTATATTTGCGACAGTAATAATACACCTAAATACATCTTAATTACTGAAATAATTAAAGTTGTAATAATTACCTGGTTTGAAATATTCACAGTGAGGGAGTGACACTACAAAAAAACTTTTGCTACTTTTTATTTATTTATAAAATGCTGTAATTTTTAACAACACAGGTGAGCAGATGTTTTCACTTGATATCAACAGGCCAACTGGTTTCGGCACTGTTGCCAAATAAATTTTAAAAAAGTTTACACCACAATAGCTTTTTCGCGGGAAAACTGAAATATGTGAGGGAGTGAACATTACTTATTGGGACTAAATAAATATAATAATAGGTAGTCGTAATTTATTTATTACTTAACTTCTGACAAGGTTTGCACAACCCCTGGATATACTCCGTATTCTTTCCTAAATAAATACTTATCTAAATAAAATTAGGTCTAAAAAATATGGTTTTAAGAAAAAATTATCAAGTTGGGACATAGTGAGGGAGTGATAAATGACACTTAAAAAAAGTATGATTCCGCCTATGGTGCAAGGTATTTACATCATTTAATTTTTTTTAGCTACTATATCTTATGTACTAAGCCCTGCATAAAAATATTTCCAGCTAACCTTATTTCAAATTCAAAAAATATCCCAGACGGCAAATTGTTTGATTTGCAGAGATTTACCCACACGTCATCAATAAAACAAAAATTTTACGCATTGGTACCAACACTAAATGACTAAATCGAAGTCTGTAATTGAATATTTGAATGCATTTTAACCAAATTAAGTTGGCAACAATTGTGATGTTGTCATGTTTACATTCAAATTTTTCATATTTAAATGACATAAAAAAGAATTTGACGTTTTAGAATTTCGAAGCTGTCAGTTGTGTTTTTGAATACCTAATTCGTTTAATTCGTGTATTATTTCGTTTATTTTGTTTGTTGTTTGTGTTATTTTATATCGTTTAAGTTTTCATTGCCGTTTTTGTGTTTGTTATATATCGTTTTTTTGTGTTTCCTATATTTAAAATGCCGAAGCATTTAAATAGTCGGAGTCAAGAGTTGGTGTCATCCTTAATACGCTATTTTGAGGCAGAACGGGATAATAATGGACCTTTGTTACCTTTAACAGCTGTTAGAGAGGTAAATAGGATTATTATTAATTATATATTAGAATATTTAACAAAATATATGTTGGATACATGAAATAATAATATATATACCAGAGACTGACTTTAGATGGCAAAATTTTTGGGTTTTATATCAGAAAATGTCTTTAAAAATGGCTAAAAACATACTTTTGGCGGTGCATCATATAGGTTATAAAAACTCAGACTTTTGACTTTTTGGTATTATTCATGTAAACGCCATCTATCGCCCTGTAGTTGCACTACCACTTTCCCTTGATGCAAGGATTTTAGCATCACATTGACAACCGTGCCCGATCAGCTGATTGATGACGTGTACGTAGTTTACTTTTAAATTTACTATAGGTACAATGTTTTTAACATTTTTTGAGCAAATAAATATCTGCTTTTGAAGCCTTAATTTTAAGACACCTTGTATATTCAACCCCAAAAATGGAATCTACCATATTAAACCACAATTAAGCATAATCACTTCACTACAAAATCATTTTGCCGAAATGAGTCACACACAAATTTC